ATTCATGTTAAACTGCGGCATGGTATCTCAGTGAGCTAGCACTATAAATCGGCATCAGTCCGGACTAGTACAAGCAGCCACACAAACACACACACACGTACATGCACGTCGCTATATAAGTGCAATAATCTTGGACGCGATGTTAAACCCCATTCCACCACCACCACCACCCTAAGAACCTAGTACATTGATGTCAACTTCTTCATAACCACCTATCCACAACAGAGATGTTCACTGCCATTAGATACAGTTCTTTTGCATAACACTAGTAAATGCATATCAAAGAATGTTTGTCTGTTTGATTGTCTGTTGTTTAATGTCACTCTCAGCAATATTCCAGCTTTAGGATGTCAACCAGACAATCCAGTGATCCACGCCATCAGGGTACAATGACACGCAATCAACCATGTTACCGATCAATTCAGTCGTCTCCTAGGACAAGCGTAGGGACCCCTTCTAATTATTCTGTGGATCTACATACTGACCAGTTTAACAATCTGTCCTCTCATTGGCCGCTTGTTGTCTTCAAACACAGCACCACGGTAATCCGACCCCCCCATCAAAACAGGGGGGTTGTCATTGAGGTCAATGATAATGACCTTGACATTGGCTGTATCCGAGTTTTGTGGGTACACATTGTCCTTGACCTGCACATCGAACACTACAGTGGCTGTGACCTCTCTGTCCAGCACTGTGTTGGCAGTGATGACACCAGTGTCGGGTCGGATGCTGAATAACCCTGTACATGAGGAACAGTCACATTCAGTTATGACTCCGTGGTCTAGCCGATAGAGTGTCTGCTGGGAGAAAGGTAGATCCAGGGTTTGATCCCCAGCAGCTTCATACAGAAAGACGTTTAACACAAGTCACAGATTCATCAGACCATCTCCATGGTCTAGTGGAAGAGTGTCTGCCTATCAGCAATGTCACACATTATGACCCACTCATCCTTGTTTTTAAGACAAGGATTATGAAAGTTACAAGGGAATGAACCAGATGAACGCAATGGATAAACGATCACATCCCAAAGTGGGAGAGATATGACAAGCGGTATTTGGTAAAAAGATTCAAATAATCTGCGTGAAAAATCCAATACACCAAACATGACCCCCTGTTCATAAAATGGACTAGTCCGACTTTACCTCGTACGGATGGCTGCACCCCTCATGGTTTTATTCTCTCTGCAGTGTTTTATTGTACGAAAGACAACGACCACCCATCGTTTATTTCTTAACTAGATGAAGGAGTTAATTACACAATAGACCAATCCACCTCAGTGGATATAGTAGTAACAGGAAGAGTAACCTCCCCTTGACACAAACTAACCATTCAATCAGAATGCATAATTCAAGTGAATGAATTGGTGAGTGAGTTGGGTCATACACTGCTTTGAACAGTATTACAGTTATACCAAGGCATGATCTGCTAATTTGGTTAGGAAGCCCAAAGGTCTCAAACATTTACCATTATGGTGAATCCATGATCACAGGGAAGGTGCTGACAAACCAAATGCCATAATCAGGCACAATCTGGAATTCAAAACCTATGGTCATATGATCCTTACACAACTAAGGGACTCAACTCTGCATGTATATAATAGTTAAATTAGCCACTCAATTCTTCTATGAACAAAATGCTGAATCTCACCGCTAGCGTCATCTATAGAGTATGTCAGTTTGTGATGGGGGTCGGCAGGGATGTCAGGGTCGACAGCTGTCACCCTCCCCACAACAGCATCGACGGCGTTGTTCTCCGGCAGGTGAAACTCATACTTGGGAAGTGACATCCTGGGTGGGTGGTTGATGGGGACGTTGACAGTGACGACAGTATCTGTGGACATCTGCGGCACACCGTTGTCCTGTGCCCGGATGTCCAGATGGTACACGTCTAGCATTGACTGGTGATTCGGGGAGTCAGTCACAAAGATTTCTCCTGAAATGGAATTGTTGTGAGTGAGTTTCATACCAACTGGAAGAGTATTTCAGTGTATATTTAGGGTCCATGGTATCACAGAGTGCCAATGTTGTAGGGAGGCGATGCCAAAGTGATGCATGTAGATACTTATCAGCTGGGTGAAACCCAGATATTTTAGGAAACCAAGACCTGTACATCACTTGACAATGACTTTCATCATCTTAGACCACATGGCCCCAGATGTACAGAGAAATGAGAAAAGTTTGTTGTGTACTTTTGTTCTGTCTGACATTGTTTTTGAGTGAGTGAGTGAGTATGGTTTTACGCCGCTTTTAGCAATATTCCAGCAATATCACGGCGGGGGACACCAGAAATGGGCTTCACACATTGTAGCAATGTCAGGAATCGAACCCGTGTCTTCGGCGTGACGAGCGAACGCTTTAACCACTAGGCTACCCGACCGCCCCCATTGTTTTTGAAGTCAATGTTAAAATGTCAAAGAGAATACAAGCAATGGAGAAATATTGATGACCTGCTATTACACAAGTCACAGATTCATCAGACATCCTCCGTGGTCTCGTGGTAGAGTGTCCGCCCGGAGAGCGGAAGGTCGGGGGTTTGTTCCCCGGACGCGTCATACCAAGAGACGTTAAAAGATGGTAATTGTTGTTATTCCGTCTGCACTCGGCATTAAGGGGCTAAAACAAGTACTGGTCAGCTCAAAGTCACTATACTGTGTCTGAGTGGGGTATTCATGTTAAACTGCGGCATGGTATCTCAGTGGGCTAGCACTATAGACTCAATATCAGTCCGGACTAGTACAAGCAGCCACACACACACATGCACATCATTATATAAGCGCAATAATCTTGGACGCGACGTTAAATTCCATTTCACCGCACGGATTCATCAAGTCACATCTTACAGAACAGGTTGCTGGGGATCAATTCTAACCCGGAATCCCCAGGGGTCTCTGAATCATGACTTGCCTGTTCTGGAGTCGACGGTAAACTTGCCGTGTCCTCCCCCCGTGAGGAGGTAGGTGATCCTGTTGTTCTGGGCGGTAGCGTCGTCATCCCTGGCTCGGACCACGCCCACCTTGCTGTCCCTCATGGCAGAAGGGGCCATGCTGAAGGTGGTGCTGCTGACAAAGATGGGGCGGTTGTCATTGATGTCGTCCACGGTGATGGAGACATTGGTAGAGGTGCTGAATCCACGTCCTCCTTGATCCGTGGCTGTCAGCTGTAAGAGTCGTCAGTACTTGAAAACTACATGAGTGAGAGAATATGTTGGGTTCAATCCCTCATCAGTATTTCAGTCAAATCACACCACATTTTGGTCGGAGTTGGCTGCCTACAGTGAAACCTATGAACACTGTTACCACCGACGGATCGTAAGGCCAGACCTTTTTAAAAACTTGGTTTACAAACCTGCCAACTTCATAAAATTGAAATGTGAAAACAAAAAAGATACATAAATTAAAAACAGTTGGTTTTTTTATACTGCCGAACAGAAATATGAAAAATACTAAAATATCAACTCATTTACTGTCCCTGTCAAAATAAATATTCTTTGAAATACTATAATTAAAACATTATAAAAATGAATTTTAAATACTTCAAAACATCATGAATTGTGAGAAGAAACCCAAAATATATTTCCTAAATTGTAATTATATTAAAACATTTCCTTGACCTACCGATCTGAATTTTGGGGCTAAAAATCTTTAAACCAAAGAAAACAAGAATGGCCTAAATGGGTCCAATCTTGACCTAGCCACTTATCAGGGACAACACTGAAGAGAATTCCGTAGATGACTGAGCTACCATTGCCCTAGAAAACTACATGACCTAGTGGTTGTTTGACAAACCACAGAGAAACACGTCAACATGGCCACGAGTCCTTGGTTGTAGTCAGTTGGTATACCGGAATACTGCAATACGCTTTTCAGACAATACAAATTGCAATATGTTTTCTGTGTTCCGGTATATCATGTAAAAATGATATAACAAGTTTTGTTATTATTTGTATCATGTAACCTAAAGTCTATACAGAAATGCATTCACCATGCTCACTTTGGGAGTGTTATATCCACTATGGTATAAAACAATGGATCTGCATGTACAATCAGTGTCGGTCACTGTCAAACACTTTTGCTGCCAATATACCGTCATATGTATCATAATACAGATACTTATATGGCAATATATTGCAATACATCTTTTTTTGCCAGAACACAGCCCTCATCAGTTGAATCTCGAATACAGCCTTACAGTTCATAAAGTGACAGGTAAGAACACTGACATACAAGTGTGTTATATGTTGATCCAAATGAGACAGAAATCATTATATATATCTTGAAACTGACCTTCTAGGAGAATCACTTTTGCAATGTTACAGAGAAAGGTAAATCCAGTTTATTTTGTCTGACATGATCAAATGCCCTCTAAAACATTTATTGCTCCACAAAGCCACTCCAAAAACAATATCATTAAAAAGTCTTAGTCTTAGAGTTTTCAGGAATAAATCTATTTTCATAAGGCTTAAAAAAATAAAAGAACTGGTTCTCAGGCAATGACTTTTGAAAAAATAGAGCGGGTGGGCGGTGGTTTGTTTTGCTTGTTCAAACTTGTAGGTAACCAAACAAACAGCTGTGTACCATCACCCTGGGAAAGGGCCTCCCGACATAAACAAGTATACAAACTCCTATTGCCGCCATGACCATAACACGAGATGTGCAGTAAAGCAGTGCGCATGTAAAGGGAAGTAACTATGTGCTACATCGGATCGCACTGTTTTAAAGTACCGTATTCGACGTAATAAGCGCCCAGGGCGCTCTCAAAATTTGAAATAGGGGGCTCTTATTAGAATAAAATTTTGGAGAAGAAAAACGAGAGTTGAAAGATTGTAAATTTCGTGGTTTATGCTGACAGCCTGAAATGATACAAAATAAAAGTCTGTGTGTATTATACACGACAGATATATTTATCCAGAATTTAATTGCCCATAATTAAGGTCGCATATAACACACGAGTGCATATTATACACAAATAAATAAGTCATGTGTACATTGATCAATCGGAAGGGCTGCTAATTGGGATTGTTCACTAGCCAATATATTAGCAAATATGGCCGTGGGCGCTTATTAGAGCGGGGCGCTTATTACGTCCAATACGGTATTAGTATTTTTTATATATATATTTTTTTTTTTTTTTTTGAAAATGGAAATAAAAACGAAATGTGCAGTGATGCGGTGACCCAAGACTATTATTTTTTTTTTGTATGGATTTTGTTACGCTGAGGATGTCGCCAGTGTCAAAGAGCAGTCTTTCTTGACCCACAAGACCATGTTTCTCTACAGTACCTTCAGATTGAAAGTCCTTTGTACTTCAGCATCAATCATGGAGGGGTCTCGTATCTTTATCCTGCCTGTGGCTTCCACAAACTCGAAGTTGTCGGAGCCACGCCCTGTCAGTGTGACCCGCACATCCCTGTTCTCAGTTGTGTCATCTTTGTCTTCAATTGTGATCGGGTGGCTCTGCAATATACCCCCACAATAACAGGATAGTGGAGCTATAAAAACTGAATGAATTCAGTTTCTGTTTTGACCACAACAACCCTTTAAAACAACATTTAAAAGCACGGAAAACTCTACATGATTTTTGTGAAGGGATGAATATTTGTTACAATAGCCATTAACTAATTTGTTATTATAGATCCACACGACATGGGCGGTCGCGAAGCCTTGTGGTTAAAGCGTTCACTCATCACACCGAGGATCTGAGTACAGTGTGTGAAGCCCATTTACGGTGTCCCCCTCTGTGATATTGCTGGAATATTGCTAAAAGAGGCATCAAACCAAACTCACTCACTCACTCCACACGACACCTGGAGATGGAGTATAAGTACTATCATGCCCTACAATCATTTCTAATCACATCTTCCCGAGGCAAGGGAGTTAACTGACTGTAAAAGTCCAGTTTCCACCCTTGCCGAACTAGGCTGGAATTTTTCTGGGCTCGATCATAGCACCACCAGTGGTTATTACGAGTTATGTCCCTTCTATGTTCCTCCTACTGACCAATCATATTCCATTTCTCATATCACATGCATTTGCTTCAAACAAAACGGGAGTGCCCAGTCAAGATGATCTGCTTGATAGTCAAGTTCTGCAAAGTGCATCAAATCAAGTGAGCACCTTGATTAAAAACATGAAAGAATTTGTAAAATACCTGCCACTGCCCGGTTGGGGGTACACATGCTTTGCAAATCCTGCAGTCGACCGTAATGTGCACGTTGAAATCCATGTTGTTTACGAACCGGATGTCTAGTGTGTTATGTGATTTAGATTGGACTATGCACAGACTTGTTAGTCAGGCAAAATGTAACTCCATAATTCCAGCCTAGTTTGGCAAGGGTGGAAACTGGACTTTTACAGTGCGTTAACTTCCTTGCCTCAGGAAGACATTCCTTTTCAAGCATACTAAATGCATACAAAAATGATAAAAAATGCACAAGTGCCAAATTGTGCAACCCCTTTTGCAAAAAGCTGAATCCTCACTAAGCTGTGTATTTACTATTGATATATGTCCCTCGATGAATTTTTTTAAGTTCAGCTGTTCTTTCCAGGTAAGTCTCGAGTTGCAAGAGCTTTCTAAAACAAGAACCAGGTGGACGGTTGTGAGACTTGTCTGATTGTGTGTTATTGTACCCTGATGTCATGTAGTGATAACAATGTTCCCTCACTCACTCACTCGCTCAGGTGACCTAGACTTAGTCAGGGGCGGTCGGGAAGCCTAGTGGTTAAAGCGTTCGCTCGTCACGAAGACCCAGGTTCGATTCCTGACATTGGTACAATGTGTGAAGCCCATTTGTGGTGTCCCCCGCCGTGATATTCCTGGTATATTGCTAAAACGGCGTAAAACCATAATCACTCACTCACTCACTTAGTCAGGGATTGTCAATCAATTGGTGTTTCACTGATCAGTTTATGAAGCCTAAGTATTCACAATGAAACACGTAATCTAGTTTTACCACTGACATCAGTTCAATTTGAGTCATGCCCATTTTTGTCAACACTCCAACAAACAGTTTTGATATCATTCATCCATCTATCAATTTAAGCATTAAACAATGTCATTTGAATATTGAATCAGTCATTCCTCTGGATTATTTGAATATCATAGTTATATAGTTTTTAAATATATTAAACTGATACACACCAATTTAACATAAACATCCCCCCTGGAAGTCGACACAGTTTCAGACACAACACCAGAGTACCCTCCCTTGATGGAAAACTCGGGCGCATGGTCGTTGGTGTCATTGACGATAATGGTAACGAGTGTGGACATGGTGTAGGCAGGTGCACCGTCGTTCACCACCTGCACATTGAAGCTCATGCTGTCCAGCTTCTCTCGATCAACGCTCGACTTCAGTTTCAGCTCTCCGCTGTACTTGTCCACCATAATGGGCACTGAAAATATCAGGAAGGTGGAATTGGTCTGGACTTAGCACTGGGTTTGGAACTATGCTGGGAACTCTTCCGACACTGTTTCAGGGCAGTGTCACTACAGTTGGGATGACCCACCTGATGTAACAGTGATGTACTGCCCCACCCACCTGATGTATCAGTGATGTACTGCCCCATCCACCTGATGTATCAGTAATATTCTGCCCCACCCACCTGATGTATCAGTGACATTTTGCCCCACCTACCTGATGTATCAGTGATGTACTGCCCCACCTACCTGATGTATCAGTGATGTACTGCCCCACCTACCTGATGTATCAGTGATGTACTGCCCCACCCACCTGATGTATCAGTGATGAACTGCCCCACCCACCTGATGTATCAGTGATGTACTGCCCCATCCACCTGATGTATCAGTGATGTACTGCCCCATCCACCTGATGTATCAGTGATGTACTGCCCTACCCACCTGATGTATCAGTGTCATTCTGCCCCGCACACCTGATGTATGAGTGATGTACTGCCCCACCCACCTGATGTATCAGTGATGTACTGCCCCACCTACCTGATGTATCAGTGATGTACTGCCCCACCCACCTGATGTATCAGTGTCATTCTGCCCCGCCCACCTGATGTATCAGTGATGTACTGCCCCATCCGACTGATGTATCAGTGATGTACTGCCCCGCCCACCTGATGTATCAGTGATGTACTGCCCCACCCACTTGATGTATCAGTGATGTACTGCCCCACCCACCTGATGTATCAGTAATGTACTGCCCCGCCCACCTGATGTATGAGTGATGTACTGCCCCACCCACCTGATGTATCAGTGATGTACTGCCCCACCCACCTGATGTATCAGTGATGTACTGCCCCACCCACTTGATATATCAGTGATGTACTGCCCCACCCACCTGATGTATCAGTAATGTACTGCCCCGCCCACCTGATGTATGAGTGATGTACTGCCCCGCCTACCTGATGTATCAGTGATGTACTGCCCCACCAACCTGATGTATCAGTGATGTACTGCCCCACCCACCTGATGTATCAGTGTCATTCTGCCCCGCCCACCTGATGTATCAGTGATGTACTGCCCCATCCACCCGATGTATCAGTAATGTACTGCCCCGCCCACCTGATGTATCAGTGTCATTCTGCCCCGCCCACCTGATGTATCAGTGATGTACTGCCCCACCCACCTGATGTATCAGTGATGTACTGCCCAACCCACCTGATGTATCAGTGATGTACTGCCCCGCCCACCTGATGTATCAGTGTCTTTCTGCCCCACCCACCTGATGTATCAGTAATGTACTGCCCACCCACCTGATGTATCAGTGTCATTCTGCCCCGCCCACCTGATGTATCAGTGATGTACTGCCCCACCCACCTGATGTATCAGTGTCATTCTGCCCCGCCCACCTGATGTATGAGTGATGTACTGCCCCACCCACCTGATGTATGAGTGATGTACTGCCCCACCCACCTGATGTATCAGTGATGTACTGCCCCGCCCACCTGATGTATCAGTGATGAGATACTCCAGGGTCTCCCCGGCACTGCTCCCAAGGTCCGGGTCCACGGCTTCAACCTTCCCCACCATGGTCCCTGCCGGCAGGTTTTCCACCATCGTCAGAGACATCACTTTCTCCACGGTTGGGGCTTTGTTCATGGGAACCTTGATCTGGACTGTGGTGTCAGCGGACCGTCGTGGGAAGCCGTTGTCTACAGCTTGCACATGCAGATGGAAGACGTCGTGGTAGGGCTCTCTCTTCAGCGTGTCAGAAACATACAGCTCACCTGGAAGGTCGATTCACAATAGGACAAAATGAAACATCCCATGAGTTCCTCCAATGTACAAAATGATGGACTTATCAAAAGGAGTTGTTTTTTTAAATATTTGTATTTTTTAACATTTCTTTTATCTTAAGACATCAATTCAAAGTTTGGACAGATGTCTCCCTGTATTAAATCTGGGAGGGATGATAACAATGGTCTTGGTACTTTGTGCCTTCGTATGATTAGAAGGACAATAGTAAACATTTGACATGCAGAGTTGCATCCCTTGACTGTGCCAGGATCGGCTGGTTGTGAGTTCAAATTACAGAATTTCCTTGATTTTGATTCTTTGTCTGTCAGAACCATATCCATGCATGTTGACTTTCCCATGTTGTGACGTTCTCCAAAATCAGACATAAAACTAAAATATTGTTCAAATCCTTTATAACCAAATACACTCACTCCCGGAAAGTTGATCTTTAATTTACTTCATTGCAAACAGCTGCATAGAAGTGCAAATACAAATTTAAGAAATGATGAAAACTTTCGACTTGTTTAGTCAGGAGCACAGAGTGGGTTTGCACACCCTGATGGTGAAGGAGAACACGTTAGCATCATTCATCAATCCATCCAGGCTGTAATATACTGTCGTCATGCTTGAAGTAAAAGGCCACTATGCTTGTCGTAAGAGGCGACTATCGGGATCGGGTGGTCAGGCTCGCTGACTTGGTTGATGCATGTTATTGATCCCAATTGCCTGGATCGATGATCATGTTGTCAATCACTGGATTTTCTGGTCAGGACTCGATTACTTACAGACCGCCGTCATTTAGCTGGAATATTGATATTACTGAGTGCGGCGTTAAACAACAAACAAGCAAGCAAGCACAAGTAATGGAGGAACACAGTGTATCATTCAGACTGAGGCAGTAGGAGGCTGCCTTCCCCCATCTGGTATGCAGGATTGGGGTTTCCATTCAGAGGGTTACTCGGGACTCAGCCGTGTGATACGCCCAGGGATTTACCTGGGATTCCAAACTAAGTGCCCCAGGCAAATTGAGACAAAAATCATGTTATCATTAACATTAATTAGTTTTCTTACTCTTTATATGTTCAAGAATCAGGAATTGGGAATTTGTACTGTCATTTGCTGCAGATTTCGGGCCGAATATCGGCCTTGAGCAGGTCTAGATATATCCCTGACACGGAATGCAAATACAATCGTATTTGATAAGCAAATTCAACATTTAAAAGAAAATAATGGTATAAACAAAAACTTCCTTTATATATTTATTTATTTCAGTGATTTAACTTCAAATTGCACCCTTAAGGAATGTGTCTACAGGTTTTCGTTTGTAGAGGGAATTCTGACAAGTGCTTTTGAGAATTGTGTTATGTGGTGTTCAGGATTCAGGGGCGAGAGCACTCTCAAGGAATGACGACTGTTACATACCTGTAGTTGGATTGACATCAAACTTGCCATGTCCGCCGTCTGTGAGGAAGTAGGTGAGTTGGTTGTTCTTCACAGTGTCGTCCCGGTCGGTGGCCGCCAGCATCCCAATGTGCGATCCCTTAGCTGCTCCTGTGTTCACCGTGAACTCATATTTCTCCTCAAACTCCGGGCTGTGGTCGTTCACGTCTTCAACGTTAATGGTCAAGTTCGCTGAGCTGGTGAGACCTTTGCCATTTTGGTCTGTGGCATATAGCTGGAACCAATGTTAGAAAACATACAGCAAAAAGGGTCATCTGAATTCTTCATAGATGTTTGATTAATCTCAAATAATAATTTTTGAAACAAGCTATGTTTATGGTATTTTTCTTCATGACAGCACTTCTTTCATAAACTGAGAGGTGTGTGCGGTGAAATGGGGTATACCGTAGAGTTCAAGATTATTGCACTCATATAGCAACACGCATGCACATGTGTGTGTGTGAGCAGTGTCCGAAATAACCTGGTAACCTTTCTGTCGGGCTGCATGAACTTTTCCTCCCCCGGCCCGAATGTCTGGCTGATCATTTAAGACTTCTTACCCATTCAATTTTATCAAAAGTCATCGTAGATTCTTAAGTAATTATTTCAACTGTGTGTGTGTGGCTGCTTGTACATGGTACTACTTCGGACTAATGATGGTGTTATAGTGCCAGCCCACTGAAATAACATACCACAGCGGTACAATTCCATAACAGAATTGGGCGACCAAATATTGCAGGAAACACAACCCCCATGAACATCTGGGTTAGAAAAGTTTTTCCGTAACTAATACTTGTCGAAATGAGGCGACAAACGGAATCCGGTGGTCAGACTCTCTGACTTAGTTAATGCACATAACTGTATCCAGGTTGCACAGATCAATGCTAAAGATGTCAAACACTGGATTATCTGGTCCAGATTGGATGATTTACTGACCACCCTCATGTATCTGCAATATTGCTTAGTGCAGCGTTAAACAAACAACCACCTAAGAAATATAAAAAAAAAGTAAAGTGAGTGAGTTAGTTGGGTTTAACGGCGCTTTGAACAGTTTTCCAGTTATATCACGGCTTGTCAGCTTAATGTGGGAGGAAAGCCCGAAGTGATGCAGGTCTTTGAGGTTTACCACTTTGGTGAAACCCATGAGCACGGGTATGGTGCTGACAAAACTAGAAAAATATTCGGGATGAAAACAAAGTGAAAAGGAATAATTACTTTGACAACCTCCACTTGATTGGTTTGGATTACTAAGGAATATCATATGAACATTGGATTACTAAGAAATACCATATGAACATAGGATTACTAAGGAATACCATAGGAACATAGGATTACTAAGGAATACCATAGGAACATAGGATTACTAAGGAATACCATATGAACATAGGATTACTAAGGAATACCATAGGAACATAGGATTACTAAGGAATACCATATGAACATAGGATTACTAAGGAATACCATAGGAACATAGGATTACTAAGGAATACCATAGGAACATAGGATTACTAAGGAATACCATAGGAACATAGGGTTACCAAGGAATACCATATGAACATAGGGTTACTAAGGAATACCATATGAACATAGGGTTACTAAGGAATACCATATGAACATGGGATTACTAAGGAATACCATATGAACATAGGATTACTAAGGAAGACCATATAAACATAGGATTACTAAGGAATACCATATGAACATAGGATTACTAAGGAATACCATATGAACATAGGATTACTAAGGAATACCATATGAACATAGGATTACTAAGGAATACCATATGAACATAGGATTACTAAGGAATACCATATGAACACAGGATTACTAAGGAATACCATATGAACATAGGATTACTAAGGAATACCATATGAACATAGGATTACTAAGGAATACCATATGAACATAGGGTTACTAAGGAATACCATATGAACATGGGATTACTAAGGAATACCATATGAACATAGGATTACTAAGGAATACCATATGAACATACTGACCATGAGCTTGTACTGACATCTGTGTTCACAGTCAATGACTCCCGGCCTGCGGACGTACAAGTGACCCGTGTCTGCGTCCACTTGGAACTGGTCACTGCCCACCCCCACCAGGCTCAGCACCAACCCTCGGTTCTCCTCGGTCACATCCTCATCGCTCACCAGTATCAGCCGATCCTGTAATCAGAATGTAATGTCTCAGGGAACAACACTCCAAACCGAGTCTTCGTTTTAAAACTTAACCACCCTGGGTCTAGGGCACAATGGGACAGTGGGGATCGAAGATAAGCTGGGTCTAGGTCACAATGGGACAGTGGGGATCGGGGGAGCAAGCTCTGTGAGATGATAGATACTGGGACACTGTACAGTTGGATTTCAATGGAGCTATCAACCAATGGTCTGTGTGGCCCTGACTCAATTATTTACACTGCAGTGATTTACCTAGACCTGCTAAGAGGCCAATATTAAGCCTCAAGTCTCAAGCAAAAGTCGGAAATATAATACAAATTAAGAAGTTCCAATTTCAAATATAACTAATTATTTGATGTCTTTGTATAGGTAACTTGTATTTCACTGATGACAGAGTATATAAAGAAGAAGCCGTAATGTTAGTCATCCATTATTGCATTCAATGTAATGTTAAAGTCAATGTTAGAAAGCATCTGAATTTATGAAAATAAGGACTCATAAAAATCCAAATTCTGAACAAAATAATTGTTTCACAATTTGCTTGCCAAGGGCAGTGATTTTCAAATCCTATGTAATCCCTGCAGTGACAGCTGTAATATTGCTGACTGCAGCATACAACACTCCAAGAAACACCAGTAGACAGAGGCTTGTGATCACCAGGTCAACTTGAGTTGCATCCCGGCTCCCGTCTTGGTCCTCCACGACTCGACCCACATACTGACTTGCTGAGAATGTTGGTGGGTTGTCGTTGAGGTCGATGATTCCGATGACGATGTGTGTAGTTGCAGTGTATGAGGGAGATCCCTTGTTGACCACAACAACGGACATCTCAAAGTGGTCATTTGTCTCTCGGTCAAGCTCTGTGGCCATCCGTACAATGCCGGTGTCACGCTCCACCATGAAAGGCACTGAAACGGTGTAGCCATGTTTAACTATGTGTTACATAGATGTCTTGGATAAAAGCATAATAATGAGTACAACAAAAAAGTCAGTTTTCAGGAAACCGTCAAGAAATCTTCCAATTTTGGATAGTGAAAGTTTTCAGAGCCGGATATCAACCAAAAAATGTAAACATTTTCGAGTTGCATTTTTGTGAGAAAAAAAAGTAACAAAGCACAGGCATCCAGAAGGTATTTGAATGGAAATTTTCTCTATGTTTGTGTCACTAGTAAATAATGTTAATTTGGGTATGTCAGACAATTTTTGAAAGATATAATTTACAGGTCACAAACTTCTTACAGGTAGGGTAACCAACTGGTATGGGTTTTCACAAGATGGCACCTCAATCAGCATCTAAGAATAAATTAGATCCCTCCAAGCCGGGATCTAACTTTTAAAACTTGACAGATAGATCCCTAAGGGCGCAGCCCGCAGGGTCTAACTGTCAAATTTTAAAAGTTTGATCCCGGCTTGGAGGGATCTAATTTATTTAAACCATGTCCAACATTTATAGCACCTAAAATGCTTAAATAACATTGTTTTGTTAAAGGTATTTTGAAAGATATTCAGGAACTCTATGGTCAACTGTGAGAACACTGTGTTTGTCGGCCCTGCGTGAAGCACGTGAAATGTGTTCCAAAAGCCTTAAAATTTTGATCAACCAAGAGAAAACCCACAAAAATCACAGTAAACATTTCAGTGGCCAATCAGGCTATCTTTACTCCAACTGAAATTTTCCAAGCAGGGCAGGTGGCTATTTCACACACTAAGTTAATGTCCAGGAGTGATGACTGTCACTTGGATCACCTCAGGTCCTGCTGATGTAAGTCTCCCTACCTTCAGGTCCTGCTGATGCTAGTCTCCCTACCTTCAGGTCCTGCTGATGTAAGTCTCCCTACCTTCAGGTCCTGCTGATGCTAGTCTCCCTACATTCAGGTCCTGCTGATGTTAGTCTCCCTACCTTCAGGTCCTGCTGATGTAAGTCTCCCTACCTTCAGGTCCTGCTGATGGAAGTCTCCCTACCTTCAGGTCCTGCTGATGTAAGTCTCCCTACCTTCAGGTCCTGCTGATGCTAGTCTCCCTACCTTCAGGTCCTGCTGATGTAAGTCTCCCTACCTTCAGGTCCTGCTGATGTAAGTCTCCCTACCTTCAGGCCCTGCTGATGTAAGTCTCCCTACCTTCAGGTCCTGCTGATGTAAGTCTCCCTACCTTCAGGTCCTGCTGATGCTAGTCTCCCTACCTTCAGGTCCTGCTGATGTAAGTCTCCCTACCTTCAGGTCCTGCTGATGTAAGTCTCCCTACCTTCAGGCCCTGCTGATGTAAGTCTCCCTACCTTCAGGTCCTGCTGATGTTAGTCTCCCTACCTTCAGGTCCTGCTGATGTTAGTCTCCCTACCTTCAGATCCTGCTGATGTAAGTCTCCCTACCTTCAGGTCCTGCTGATGTAAGTCTCCCTACCTTCAGGTCCTGCTGATACTAGTCTCCCTCAGTGACCATCAGGCCCTGCTGATGCTAGTCTCCCTACCTTCAGGTCCTGCTGATGGAAGTCTCCCTACCTTCAGGTCCTGCTGATGTAAGTCTCCCTACCTTCAGGCCCTGCTGATGTAAGTCTCCCTACCTTCAGGTCCTGCTGATGCTAGTCTCCCTACCTTCAGGTCCTGCTGATGTTAGTCTCCCTACCTTCAGGTCCTGCTGATGTAAGTCTCCCTACCTTCAGGTCCTGCTGATGTAAGTCTCCCTACCTTCAGGTCCTGTTGATACTAGTCTCCCTCAGTGACCATCAGGCCCTGCTGATGCTAGTCTCCCTACCTTCAGGCCCTGCTGATGTAAGTCTCCCTACCTTCAGGTCCTGCTGATGTAAGTCTCCCTACCTTCAGGTCCTGCTAATGTAAGTCTCCCTACCTTCAGTTCCTGCTGATGCTAGTCTCCCTACCTTCAGGTCCTGCTGATGCTAGTCTCCCTACCTTCAGGTCCTGCTGATGCTAGTTTCCCTACCTTCAGGTCCTGCTGATGCTAGTTTCCCTACCTTCAGGTTCTGCTGATGCTAGTTTCCCTACCTTCAGGTCCTGCTGATGCTAGTTTCCCTACCTTCAGGTCCTGCTGATGCTAGTTTCCCTACCTTCAGGTTCTGCTGATGCTAGTTTCCCTACCTTCAGGTTCCCCGGTGAAGAACTGGATCTCCTCTCCATTGTTGTACTCCATGTCCGGGTCAGTGACCTTGACCCTGCCCACCTCCGACCCCACAGTCTGGTTTTCCTTGACCTTGAACTGGATGGTAGTGGGCACAACGGGTGGCTTGTTGAGGTTGACCTTGATAGTGACCACTGTCTCGGCTGACTGTCTGAGGTCCCCCGAGTCAATGGCCTCAACCGAGAGGTGGTACACGTGACGGAATGGCTCAACTGTCAGCTTCTCGATGGCTACAATGTCACCTGGAGAAGGGATTAACTAAGTAACATTTCAACTATACCGAACAAAAAATGTTAGGGATCATGAATATTTTGGGGGGATGATTTTATTAAATTGCGTAGTTCAGTCCCCAAAAATATTTTGTTCAGTATATTCCAAATAATACATGATTAAATGTTCAAATTAGTTGTTGCAGTTTGGATAAATAGTTTGGATAAATACCAGAATGTCTCTGATAATACAAAGACGCTGCACCCTTCAGGCCCTCAACATCAACATGAAAACCAAACCTGTTTTACACTAGCTAGCAGATTTGTCATCATCTTCCATTATCCAGTGTATCATATCTCCAGTCTTTTATGACACAGACCCTGGACCCACTTGGATAGGACGCTACCATCTTCATGTTTCTTATCACTTACTAATCACAATTCTCTCGGCCATTTATGTAATTGGATGGCAAGTTTTTTGGTCGCATAACCCTTCAAAATGGTTCAAAATGAAGCCATAAAACTCAAAGTGGCATTTCATTGGTCAAAGTATAAGATAATATTTATAAACCTGAATCTGGATCCAAATCAAACTTCCCAAAAGCGCCGCCTCTAAGAAGATACGTGATCCTGTTGTTTTTGCGATGGATGTCTCTGTCAGTGGCCTTGATCCTCCCGACAACTTGTCCTACCCTTGTCCCAGCAGCTATACTCAAGTTGTATGTTCCCGGGAACACTGGAGCATTGTCGTTGACATCCTCAATATTGACAGTCAGGGACGTTGTGGAGTTCTTGCCTCTCCCAGACTCATCTGTTGCAGTGATCTAAACAAGCCACAAATTACTTAATCCTTACCAATACCAATGCATTACAACAATCTATTCACAAATCCTACATTGAAAATATTTTGCTGTGCAGAGTTGCCTCCCTTAGGCACACCAGCAACCAAGAATGTGGGTTCAAATCTTTGTTAGCACTGATCAGGTTTCTATGTGTATCAGCACCATTCCAATGCTTGCTGGATTCACCAAACGTCCGAGATATAAATCACTTTGGGCTTTCCTCCCACATCTAGCTGACAAGATGCCATAACTGAAATATTGTTCAAAGAAGTGTTAAAAATAACACACTTAGGAATTGAGAAACACAAGTTCACCCACAGTCAAATTGTATGAACTCTGCTCCTCAGCGTCTAGTTTGCCGGGCGTCCTCAGCTTGAGGCGGCCGCTGTCCGAGTCCAGGATGAACCTTTCACTACCCTCACCACCAAGATGTAGGGTGGTCAGTCGGTGAGCCTCCGTGGCATCGGCGTCAACAACACTCACTCCATCACTCTGGGGGGAAAAGGTGCCGATTATCAATAAGGTCAAAAAGAAACATGCGTGTTATAACGATTTCTATTGCCCTAAAAGAGATAGCAATGTCAGCATAACAGAAACATCCTGTGTTATGGCGTCATATAATGATTGATGTTACAGAGTACCAGGCTGACATTTCTCGATAAGTACTGGACTTTGGTTAAAATTTAGAGCACACGACAGCTCATCATTGAGCAGGGAAAATACAGAGATTATAAAACTTGAGTGTGTAACTGATTTTACAAACATAATTCATGTAGTAATGACAAAAGAAATGGCATTCATTTATAACTCCTAAATTTAATATCAAAAGACTGTGAACATTACTTATGACACTATTTTAGAATGAGTGATTGAATTGTGTTATATGCTGCAGTCAGCATGTTTACAACTGTATCCTAGCAACCTGTATGTGTATTCAAATCCAGACCAGACAGACCAGATGTCGGTTTTCGAGGACATTGAGATTATTCTATTAATCTTTAATTCTAATTCTAATTGCACGGGCTCAAGAATCTCCAACACATGTTCAGGACACAGCTACAGGCCATGATCCAGTGAGTATTCATCACCTTCGTCATGTGACTTCAATTATGTACATGTAGCCGGGGTAGTGGTATTTATTCGGCTCGGGCCGTTGGGAAACACAGACACAGGCAGATGGTGATAATGGATTTATTTCAAGGGGGGTGGCTGCTGTTGAAGAACTACCTGAAGAAAAGAAAATGTCCTTCCTCCTCAACAGCAGCACATGAAGTCATATATTTGCAAGTTTACAGGTATTATTTATCTTAAATATAAAAGTACAAAAGCCATTGATAAACTATACTAAAACTAACTTTAATGTTAAATTACTGTTATATGTTCATTATAGGATACTTGGAAAGCACATGGTCCAAAATGGACCATGTGGTTAATTATTTTACAAGCAAGTTTTATAATATCAATATTCCATTTACTAATTTAATATTACTTTAAATGATATTATATATATATTATTCAATTTAATTCAGCACCCTAATATAGATATTAATTTCTGACAGAAGCAGATGAAAACAGATTGAAATATGGCCATTCCATACCTGAAGAAAAGAAAATGTCCTTCCTCCTCAACAGCAGCACATGAAGTGAGGAGGAAGTCAGGTATGGAAGGAAGCTACCTGTAGAGGACCAGGGTGGCCAATTAGAAGACAGATTGCATTAAGCATCAAAGGAAGTGCTTAATGCAAGATATAAATAGACTGAGGGAAACCCTACAGGTGTAAAAAATGTCTAAAGATAGACAGAAGGTTGAAGGGGAAGATCTGGTGAGAGATTCCCAGAGACTGAAAATAAGGGTGTTGAGTTGTTTAAAGAGTTAGATACTGATATTCAACTGTAGACAAGACAAACATTGAACATATAGATGATTATGATGATGATGTATGAATAATGATATAACTATAGGAAGAATATAAGGTACCCTGCTACACGCACCCCCCTTTTGGGAATGGTGCCCTCACCATACGCAGCTGAAAACAGACGAACAGCCAAGGAAAGGAGCAGGATAACAAAAGGTTGCAGAAAATTAAACCTGAGAAAGCAATAACATGTGCTCAAACATATATACAATGGACTAAGTAGAGAACTATACCCAAACCATGTTCTGTTTCACCACCCATTGACCGTCAGTCATCCACTTTGGTTTCTGGCGTGACCTGCCAGGTCTTGTAACCACTGGTGGGGTGACAGAAGATAATTCTGGAACAACAGAAGTGGAAGGGCTGGAAGGCACTGGGGAAGTCGAAATTCCTCCAGGCAACTCGAGTGACGGCAACACCATAGATGGCGTCGTTGAAGAGGGAACACCAGATAATTGAGCTGGTGGTGACCTTGGAAACGAAGGAGTTTCAACCGGCTGACCCAATGGAGAACCCCCAGGCACTGGAGATAAAGGAATTTCCACATCCAGGTCGGTTGTAGAAATCTCCAAAGCGGTGTTGGAGGTATCACCAGGTACAGCGGAAGCTCCTAGAGAAGGCGGAGGGCTCCGAGGTTTAGGAATGGGACGGCCATCCGAACCAATGGGAAGGAGTAAATTGCGGTGAAGTACACGATGCTCCCTAGTGCCTTCCTTGCGGACTTTAAACACAGGAACATTAGAATTCGGCTGTGATTCCACCACATAGAAATCTTTCTCCCATCGGTCGGCAAGCTTCTGTTTCCCACGAATGTTGACATTGCGGACCAACACAACATCACCTACCTTAACAGTAGCACCACGAGCCTTCAGATTATAAGTCTTCCTCTGTTTGGCCCGGGCCTTGTCCATGTTTTGAGTAGCGAGCTCATACGCAGTTGTCAACTTGCGCTTCAAATCAGCAGCAAACTGCGTATAAGATGGCGATGAAGTGTTGGCGAGAGACGTGCCAAAGGCAACATCAACAGGCAGTCTAGGATGTCTGCCGAACATGAGAAAGTAGGGCGTGAACCCAGAAGACTCGTGCAAGGTACAGTTATAGGCATGGACCACATGAGCAATATGGTCCTTCCAACGTGCCTTTTCCTGATCCTGCAGAGTCCCGAGCATCCCAAGAAGTGTCCGGTTAAACCGTTCACATAACCCGTTCCCCATGGGGTGATAGGGAGTTGTCCTTGTTTTCTGTATCCCAAGTATGCTGCACATTTGTTTGATAACATCACTTTCGAAATTCCGTCCCTGATCTGAATGTAACCTTTCAGGGAGGCCATAGTGTACGATAAAGTGCTCAAACAAGGCCTTTGCTGTTGTTCGCGCTGTTTGATTACGAGTTGGAATCGCAACAGCATACTTGGTGAAGTGGTCAGTAATGACCAGAACATTTTCGTAACCACCAGATGAAGGTTCCAGACTGAGATAGTCAACACACACCATTTCCATGGGTTGAGTGGTCTGAATGTTGACCAATGGTGCGCGCTCAGTCTGATTAGGAGCTTTCCGAAGAATGCACCTCTGGCAGCTACGAATGTGGTTCTCGACATCTCCCATCATTCCTGGCCAATAAAACCTCGTCCGTAGGAGAGCCACAGTCCTGTCCCTACCCAGATGCCCCATCCCGTCATGAAGATGAGTAATGACGGATTCTCGTTGAGGCTCTGGGACAATGAGTTGAAAGTAGGGATAATCACCTTCTGTAGTCTTCTGTCTCCTATAAAGGAGATTGTTATTGATGGAGAGAGCATCCCACTGCCTGAGGATTGAAGCTGTGTCACGATCAAATGACCTAAGAGACTCCTTTGAAGGGCGCTGATCTTTACGGAGAAGGTCCACAATCGTGCAGATTGAGGGGTCCGCCTGCTGACAAGATAGCATCTGATGATCAGTCCCAACATTGGTAGACTCGAAATCATCAACTGCTAAAACACAGTTCAATACCTCATGACAAAGTGAGAGCGTCTCTACAACACTAGACGTCTGCTGACTGTTGCAAACCGCAGACACAGATTGGATATCCATGACCTCACGTGGCAACCTGGACAACGCATCAGCATCCTTGTTCCTTGCCCCTGGTACATACTCTACAGAAAAGTCGTAAGCAGCAAGGTCAGCGAGCCAACGATGTCCAGTTGCATCCAATTTCGCTGATGTTAAAACGTAAGTGAGGGGGTTGTTGTCGGTCTTAACGGTGAATGGGTTGCCATACAGGTAGTCATGGAACTTCCTGGTGACAGCCCATTTCAGAGCTAGAAACTCTAATTTGTGAGCTGGGTAGTTGCGCTCTGATTTGGAAAGCCCTCGGCTCGCATAGGCTATCACTCGTTTCTGGCTATTTTGGGTTTGGTAAAGTACCGCGCCTAAGCCATCGCCACTTGCATCAATGTGCAGTTCGAATGGCTGAGTGAAGTCTGCGAAAGCCAAAATGGGAGCGCTGATAAGTTTACCAACAAGCTCACTGAAAGCCGACTGCTGCTCCTCCCCCCATATCCAGTTCTGGTCGGGTTTGCTATTTTTCCTTTTCTTGCCGGATTGACCAACAAGTAAATTTGTCAAGGGCTTTGCAACTTTGGCATAATTAGGCACAAAGCGACGATAATATCCAGAGAAGCCAAGAAAACGACGAACATCATCCACATTCTGTGGAACTGGCCAGGTCTCCAGTGCCGCAATCTTCTCAGGGTCTGTCGTGATACCCTCCTCAGAGATTACGTGACCCAGATATTTCACAGAGGTCTGCAAGAACTGGCACTTAGAAGGCTTAAGTTTGAGGCCATTCTTGCGCAATCGAAGAAAGATTGCACGTAATCTCTCCAGATGCTCATCAAAGGTCTTTGAAAACACAATGATGTCATCAAGGTAAATGAGACACTGTAGGAGATGGATGTCGCCCATACATCTCTCCATAAGACGTTGAAAAGTTGCGGGAGCATTTGTGAGACCAAAAGGCATCGAGTTACACTCGTAAAATCCTAATGGACCAACCGTAAAAGCAGTACGGGCTTTATGTTCCTCAGCAACTTCGACCTGCCAATAGCCCGACTTCAGGTCAAGACAAGTGAAGTACTTGGCACCATGAAGTGCATCAAGGGTCTCCTCAATCCGTGGTAAAGCATAAGAGTCTCTAACTGTACGACTATTAAGTTGGCGATAGTCTATACAGAAACGTAAAGACGAGTCCCTTTTGCGAACAAGAACCACGGGAGAGGCATAAGGACTAGAAGAAGGACGAATAACCTTAGCATCCAACATGTTCTTCAGATGGTCCTTAACCTCTTGATACAATGCAGGTGGAATGCGCCTATGTCTTTCCCTGAAAGGACGTTCATCAGTTAGCTCAATCCTGTGAGTGACTAAGTCTGTGTGGCCCATATCCATATCAGACTTGCTGAAGATGTCATCAAACTCACTAAGAAGATCGCGAAGCTTTGCTATTTCCTCTGGAGTATGTATCTGACCCAGGGTTTCTAAATTGAAAATGTCTTTAGACTCGGGGCCAGATGTGAAAGCCGGCTCATCCGTA